GCCCAGTGTGGAATGGAAATGCAGAGCCTCTTTTAGAATTTCAAGATGGCAAGAGGAGACCATTTGGCCAAGTGTGGGGCCCTTCTAATCCAGGACCCTGTGCAACTGCATGAGTCACAAGCCCATGAATGAAGCTGACCCTGGTCCTGGAAATAGTGGTACTTGGAGGGTGTGCTCTGTTGATAGTATTCTGGGTACCATGAAGAGCTCTGAAGTCTCCACCAGGTACCAGGGGGTGGAGGAGTTAGAATATTGCATGCCATGAAGGAGGGTAGATGATGGGTGTAATCAGCCCCCTCCCTCTGCCCTTGTCCTTCAGCCTGACTTGGAAGGCAATGCTTTTGAGTTGCAGATCTCCAGCACATCCTGGGGAGCCAAGGTGACTGTGTGTCCAGCCTGGCTCTGTATGGATGGACCTAGGGCTCAGCGGCTGGGGCTGCAGGGAGGGGAGATGCTGCCTGCACCTGGCAGCTGGATTTCATTATCCGGATCAAGTTCATGACCCCTGAGGCACAGAGGAGAAGGGAGAACTGGGGAGCTGTAGGGGGAGCTGGAACAGGTTAGCAGGCAGGCAGGCAGACATGCAGTGAGGGTCTGTGGGCGTCAGGACTCTGTTATGTTAACTGGAAACACGTGGCCCAGGGGCTGCCTGGCCAAGCCTGGGAGGGCACGTGTAGACCTGTGTGTGTGTGAGAGAGAGAGAGAGGGAAGGAGAGAATGAATTATGGTGGGACTATATCCTGGAATGTATTTAGTCTGTATCTGGGCAGTGACACCATCACCCAAAAGAATGGAGTTGTGTATTTGTGCATGTGTGACCTCCTCATGTGAGCTTAACAGCTGGGGGAGATGGTCCTGTCACCTGTGGGATAGGACAGGAGTTCTTCAAGAGGCCAGAGCCTTAAAATTAGCCTCAGAACATCATGGGAATTCACCTGCCTGGAGATTCTGAATCAGTGGTGAGGGGTGGGGGTGGGGGTAGGGATGAGAGATCTTTAGGCCTGAGTAAGGTGTGCAGAGCTAACATAGGATCTGGCCCCTAAGGGTGCTCCTTATCTCACCTCTGTCCCTTCTGAGAATCATCTGTCACCCTCTAGGTAATATTCATTGCATGCTTATCATGTGCAAGGCATGATTCTAACTCAACAACCCTACAAGACAAGGACTGCCATTTCCCTGATTGACAGAGGGAGAAACTAAGGCAGATTGAGTAATCTGCCCAAAGACACACACCCCATAAGTGTACAAGTAGGAATTTGAACCCAGATAATGTGGCCTTGAGCTTGCACTCTTTACCACACATTCAACTGAAAGACATGACGATGAAGGTAGAAGGGCTGGGAATGCAGAAGGTGGTCACCCGTGAGGGGTTCTTGTCATGATTGTATGTCCATGCATGTGTGTGTGCACAGACACGTGGGCGTTGAGACCTGGCAGAGCTGAGTTTGAATCCTAGCCCAGTTACGTGTCACCTTTGAGACCTTACATAAGTCCTTCTTACCCTCCCTGAGCCTCCAAAGATTTATCTTTAACATAGAGATAGCCACACTCACCCCTCAGCATTGCCAGCATTCATTTATTCATTCAGCAGTGATTTATTGAGCTTCTACAATGCACCAGGCACTGTAATTGGCACAGCAGATATAACATGAACAAAGCAGACAAAAATCCCTGCCTGCGTGGAGCTTACATCCTAGTTGGAGTGAGTGGCAGAGGTAGGTGAGGAGCCCAGCCCAGGCCTGGTAACGATGATGTGCTTAGAGGTTAGTTATAGGTTGTGGCTCTGGATGCTCTGTCCATGTCCCTTCAGTCTGCATGTGGATTTTGTATTACTGTATTTTTATGCAAATAACACACGCGTTATACATTTTTTTGCCAACCGTGCACCCCCCCTTGCTATTTTCATAAGCGTATTATTTGCGAAAAAATATGGTAGTTTTCTACAGCTGCCATAACAAAGTGCAAACTGGGTGGCTTTAAACAACAGGAATTTATTCTCTCTGGAGGCCAGAAGTCCGAATTCAGGGTCTCGGCAGAGCCATGCTCCCTCTGAAGTCTCTAGGGGAAGATCCTCTCATATATCTTCCAGCTTCTGGTAGCCCCAGGCATTCCTTGGCTTGTGGCAGCATCATTCCAGTCTCTGCCTCTGTCTTCGCATGGCCATCTTCCCTGTGTGTGCCTCTGTTTCTTCTCCTTTTTAATAAGGACACCAGTCATATTGGTTTAGGGTCCACCCTACGCCGGTATGACCTCATGTTAACTGGTAACATCTTCAAAAACCTTATTTCCAACCAAAGGGTCAGACAGCATCCCTGGCCTCTCCTACTAGATGCCAGTAACACCCCTACCTCCAGTTGTGACAACCACAGATGTCTCCAGACATTGCCAAATGTCTCCAGTTGAGAACGCTGCTCTGGAACCACTGCTGAACCCTTGCACCACCTGCCATAGTTAGGCCTAGATGCCACAAGGTTCGGCCACCCAGATCAGCCAGAAAGCCTGCAGGACCCTGAACGCCTGCCACTCCCCAAGGCTGCCTGTCTCTGTGCCCCAGAGGCTGTAGACAGAGTGGAACTGTTGAGCAGTCCCAGGGACAGTCAGGCCCCCAGTGGAATCGTAGGTGGGAGCTCCCAGGAAGACAGCATCAGGGGTGCTCCAGGGCCTTTGGATTGGTCAGTGAAGAATTGAGTTGTTCCATTACTCACCATTGCTCTTTCCAGCCTTCTATCTTTGCCGCCTAGACCAGAGCACTTTCACTCAGAGAGTGACTCGGGGTCCATCTGAGATGGGTCTACAGTGGCCCTGCAACCAGGTATTTCGTGCAGGGAGGCTTGGAGCCAAGCATCTGGGGGAGATTGAGGGGAGACAGAATATTCTGAATCTCTTTTCCAGCCTCCCAAGGAAGAGAATAAGTGAGAGCAAGAAACGAGACTGATTAAGGCCCTTGTTTGTGACAGGGACTCTCTCAGTCCTCTGATGTGTAGTGCTTGTCACATGATGGTTAAGAGCATGGGCTCTGGCCCAAGCTACCTGGTTCAGATCCTGGCTCTACCACTAATTCTGTGTGACCTCAGGTGCGTTCCTTGACCTCTCTATGCCTTAACTTCCATTATCTGTAAAATGGGGGTAATAGCTAGCACCTACATTAGGGTTGTTATGAAGATTGAGAAAGTGATTGTCAAGTGTTTAGAATATTGCCCAGCACACAGTAAATGCTATGGAAGTCTTTGATAAATAAAATTCTAACAGTCCTTCCAGATAGGAATTACTATCCCTATTCTGCAGGTGAGGAAATCATTAAGTTGAATGAGCTAGTAAGAGGCAGAGCTGGGATTTGAACCCAAGATTATCTGACTTTCCAGAACCCATGCTTTTCTGGCCATACCACACTGCCCCAAGGTAGGAGACATGAGCTGGGGTCAAGGCTGTGGCCTGAGTGGGGCAGGAGCAACAGGCCCTGGGTCTCTGGGGCACATAAGGTAGCCCTGGAAGGTACTCTTTCTGCCCTGGGGTAGAGACCTGGATCATGGCTGCAACCTGGAGGGAAGTCAACAGCTGCTGTGCTCCAGCGCCCCACTGCCCCCATCCCGCCCTGCTCTGGCTGTTAGACCTGCTGTCTGAGCAGGTGACCACTGGAGCAGGAGTCAGAGACAACCAAATCTAACTTTCACTCACTGTCTGGGCTGGAGCAAGGATGACCGCAGTGTGGAACCATGCACAGTGGCTGGTGGAGGGAAAGAACTGACAGACCAACAGCCTGGAGCAGGAAAGGGGCCAGGCCCCAGGTGGGCAAGAGGAGGAAGGTAACTACGGTGGCTTGGGCAGGGCCAGGTGACAGGGGATCATGCTACGGGAATGGCCCAGGCCAGTCACCCACGCCCCTGTAGGACCAGGCCCATCTTGGGACCTTTCTGCCCTGGCTTGTAAGGTCCCCTTGGGGGATTCTGATGCAGGTAGTCTGCAAACTGGCGTTTTGGAAGCACTGCCTTAAACAACTCACCTCCCTTCTCTGAGCCTCAGTTTCTTCACCTGTAAAATGAGGATGTTGGACTGTATTTCTTCTATGTGTAGAAATCCTCCTATGTATGTCTAAAATCAGATTGCTACACATAGATGGGCCTGGTCCTACAGGGGAGTGGGTGACAGGCCTGAGCCATTCCCCTAGCATGATGTTGGCATCATTTGTCAAAGCACTTTGTGGACGCAGGACACTGTCTGACTGACTGCACCCTCCCTCAGCCTCTGCGGGTGTTAAAGCAGGCAGTGTTTGGATTTCTCTATGTACAAGGTCATGGGAGGCTTAAGTCACAGGGTGAGTTTATGAGCCGGGTCAGACCCTGGGCTCCCAAATCTCCCCTGTCTTAGTTATTTAGTGCTGCTATAACAGAAATACCACAAGTGGATGGCTTTAACAAACAGAAATTTATTCTCTCGCAGTCTAGGAGGCTAGAAGTCTGAATTCAGGGCACCAGTTCCTGGGGAAGCCTTTCTCTCTGTGTCAGCTCTAGGGGAAGGTCCTTGTCATCAATCTTCACCTGGTCTAGGAGCTTCTCAGCACAGAGACCCTGGGTCCAAAGGACATGCTCTGCTCCCTGTGCTTCTTTCTTGGTGGTATGAGGAGGTCCCTCTCTGCTCACTTCTCTCTATCCTTTCATCTCTTATAAGATAAAAGGTGATGCAGGCCACACCCCAGGGAAATTATCCTTACATCAGATCAGGGCCTGATCTGAGTAAGGGTGTTGCATCCCACCCTAATCCTTTTTAATTTAACCTAATCTTGCCTCATTAACACAGGCAGAGATTAGGATTTACAACACATAGGAATATTAGATCACAAAATGGAGGACAACCACAATACTGGGAATCATGGCCTAGCCAAGCTGACACATATTTTGGGAACACACAATTCAATCTATGACACCCCCTGGCCACCTTTTCAGGGTCCATGTGGGGTGAGCTCTGACCTCAGTCACCCTTCCTTCCTGCTTTCTCTCCTTCAGGTCTCAGCCTCCCTAGATTCCAGGCCTCTCAAGGAAGAGGAAGAGACCCCACTCCTCCCTCGAGCCCACGTCCAGGCAGTGTCTCGCCGACACAGGCGCCAGACCCTTGCTGAGTCAGGCTCCCTAACCCCAGACGAGGCTGCCCCTCCTGGGACCCTGGAGGACACCCCCTTGCTGCTGGAGCTGCAGAAGCTGCTGGGATTGGCCAGTACAGACTTGAGCACCCCAAACCCTAACATCCAGGTGAGAGCTACAGAAGGGCCATAGATCTTTGGCCCAGAGGACACCTAGGGAAGGGCTGAGCTGAATGGCACAACTCTAAGGTCAGGCTACCAGCCAGGCCCCCATCCTGTGTTCCTTGGAGGGCAGGGGTTCCTGTGTGTGGTCAGACAGTTTGACCCCTGTGCCCTCCCTATGGTGTAGTGAGGGGAGTACCTGCTCTTCTTCTACTTTCTAGCTGTGGGACTATCTTAGGCTGGATTCTCTAGAGAAGCAAAACCACTAAAGCATATAAATGTGTATGTATAGTGAGATTTATATCAAGGAAACAGCTCACATGACTGTAAAGGCTAGAATGTTCCAAGTCCGTGGATCAGGGTAGAGGCCTCTCCCAAGTCACACAGCCACAGAAGCTGGCGAGCCTGGTCAGAGAGCAGGGCTCCCACTCACACGCTGTGCAGGTTGACGAATTCCAAGATCAGCAGGCAAGCCCACAAGGTTTCTCCTGATTCACATAGCTGCAGGGGCTGGCGAACTCAAGATCAACAGGTCAGAGAGCAGGTCTCCGCTCATAGGCTGTGAAGATTGATGAATCCCAAGTTTGGCAGATAAGCTGACAGCTCAAGTCCCAAGAACTGGAGATGAAATGACAGGAGGCAGCCGCAGGATCCAGAGTGAGCAAAAAGCCAGAACATCTGCTTATATTCAGATGCAGGCCACACCCCCAAGGAGACTTCCTTTCATCTGATTGGCTACTCACAGTATATTCAGTCATGGGAGTGATCACATTAAAACACTGAGAATCATGGTCCAGCCAATCTGACACACAATCTTAACCATCACAGGAACCGTAGGCAAGACACTTGGCTTCTCTGAGCCTCTGCTTCCTAGACTGGAGCAAGGGGCCCATAGCACCAGCCTGCCGAGCTGCTGTGAGCTGCAGGGGTTCTGAGAATATGACAAGGCCTTGAGGGAAAGCCTGAAGGTGGGATCCCCGCCCAGGCCCAGCTCCTTACTGCAGGCCCATGAAGAAGGAGCTGAATGCACACTGCAGTGTGACTGCCCACCAGAAGGGCTTTTAGCAGAGGAAACTAGGGGGGCCAGGTGAAATTCCAGTGTACACACCCCATTGCCGGTCCTGAATCCCTAATGATAATAATGCTGCATTTTTGTATAGCATCTACAGTTTACAAAGCACTTTCACCAAAAGAGAAAAAACAGAAGACTGAAAGTACAGAACATGAAATCCTAAAATTGCTTAAAAATGTACGTGTATATGTCATTGTTGTGGTGTGCCGTCGAGCAGATTCTGACTCATAGCACCTTCTAGGATAGAGTAGAATTGCCCCCATAGGGTTTCCAAGGCTATAATCTCTTTTTTCTTTTTGGTGAGGGGGGACATTTCATTGTGCTTTAGGTGACAGTTTACATAGCAAATTAGTTTTCCAATCAATGATTCTTACACAAATTGGTCCCTGACATTGGTTGCAGTCCCCACAATGAGTCAGCGCTCTCCCCACTTCCTCCCTGGGTTCCCTGTTTCCACTAGTCCGGTTTCCCCATTCCTTCTTATCTTTGGTTTTAGCTAAATGTTGTCCTTTTAGTCTCATATAGTTGATTGTTCTAAGGAGCACATTCTTCACGGGTGTTATTGTTTATTTTATAGCCCTGTCTATTATTTGGCTGAAAGGTGGCCTCCAGGAATTTCAAGTTAGAAGCTTGTCTTAGGGCAGTAGTCTTGGGGGTTCCTTCAGTGTCTTCCAGACCAGTAAGTCTGATCTTTTTTTTTTCTTTTTTATTTGAATTTGAATTTTGTTCTTTACTTTTTACCCATTCTAACCAGGAACTTCTATTGTGATTCCGGTCAGAGTGGTCGGTGGTGGTAGCTGGCCACCATCCAGTTCTTCTGGTATCAGATTAGAGGAGGCTGTGGTTCATGTGGGCCAATAGTCCTTGGGACTAATTGCTTCCTGAGTCTTCGGTTTTCTTCATTCTCCTTTACTCACGGTGGGAAGAGACCAATAGTTGCTTCTTAGATGGCTACTCACAAACGTTTAAGACCCCAGACACTACTCACCATGCTAGGATATAGAATATTATCTTTATAAACTGCCAGGTAACCAAGATGTCCCCCAGTACTGTGGTCCTTAGACAAGGCTGTAATCTTTATGGAAGCAGATTGCCACTTAACTTTTGGTTAGCAGCAGAGCACTTAACCACTGCATCACCAGGGCTCCTTCATGTGTGTATGTGTATGTGTGTATGTTGTTGTTGTTAGGTGCTGTCGAGTCAGTTCCAACTCATAGCGACCCTGTGTACAAAAGAATGAAACACTGCCCAGTCCTGCACCATCCTCGCAATTGTTGTTATGTTTGAGCCCATTGTTGCAGCCACTGTGTCAATCCATCTTGTTGAAGGTCTTCGCCTTTTTCGCTGACCCTCCAGTTTACCAAGTATGATCTCCTTCTCCAGGGACTGATCCCTCCTGATAACATGTCCAAAGTACATTAATAATTGGAACGTGGAATGTACATAGGTGTGTATAGGTACATAAACATATACATATAAATATATGAGTGCATACATGTGTATGTGTGTGTGTATATATACATTTATACTACATATAAATGAGTACATGTATATGTGTGTACATCCACACACACACATACACACACATACACAAACACAAAGTGGAAGATTAATCACCAAAATGTTACCTGTTGGTGATGGAATTGTAGGTGGTTTTCATGTTCTTTATAGTTGTTTTTTTCTGAAATTTTGTACAATGACCTCATTACTTTTTAACAGCCCAAAATAATAAATGCTTTTAAAGTTCACCTTCACATAAGTAGAGACCTTCTTGGTTAAGAGCTTGGCTGCTAACCAAAAGGTCAGCAGTTTGAATCCACCAGCTGCTCCTTGGACACTCTATAGAGAAGTTCTACTCTGTCCTATAGGAGCACTATGAGTTGGAATTGACTCAGTGGCAACGGTTTTTTTTTTTTTTTTTGGTTCACATAAGTGATTTGATTTGATTTATTCACCATCTATAAATGTGGTGAAAGAGTTCCTCTCTAGAGCTCCTGTAGCTATTTGAAATCTGGTGGTGCAGTGGTTAAGTGCTCGGCTGCTAACTGAAAGGTCAGAGGTTGGAACTCACCAGCTGCTCTGCAGGAGAAAGATGTGGCACAGTCTGCTTCTGTAAAGATTTACAGCCTTGGAAACCGTATGGGGCAATTCTTTTCTGTCATATAGCATCCTCCATGAGTCAGAATCAACCTGACGGCAGGGTTTAGCTTTCATTTTCCCGCTTCACAGATGAGGAAATGGAGGCTCAGAGCTGCTTCGTGGCTCCCTAAGGCAGAGCAGCCCGCCTGCTGGTGGAGCCAGAATTCCAAGCTAGCTTCTTCCCCTCCCAAGTGCCTTCTCTTAAACCCTGGCTGCAGGTTAGAACCACCGTGCCCAGCCCCACCCAGGCCAGTTAAATCCATATCTAGGGTGAGGTGTGGGAGTCAGGACTGGTTCAAAGTGCACCTTCAGGTGATTCTAATGCACAGTCAAGCCTTAAGCTATGACCCCATGTCCTCTGGAAGCAGGGCTTAGAACTAGTTTGTTTTGGTTCGAGCCTCTGCTGAGAATTTGCATTTCTAACAATTTCCCATGCGATGCTAATGCTGCTGGTTAGGGACCAATTCTGAGAACCACTAGTTGAACAGTGGTTCTTCAGATTTATCATACAGAAGAACACCTGGGGATCTTGTTAAGCTGTAGATTGTGATTCAGTATATCTGGGGTGGAAATGTAAATTCTCAGGAGGGGTTCGAACCAGAAGGAGCGGGTTCAAAGCCCTGTCTGGAAGGCCAGGTAGATTAGCCAAGAGAAGACAGCTGGTTTGGAGCCAAGGGCTGCAGCTCTTTGCCCCTGCTGCCATCCCTTGTCTCCCTTCTCCAGGGTCCAACTCTGAGCCCTCCCTCACTGGCCAGCCTGGCCTCTGTCCCCCTGCAGGTGACCATTGAGGTGGTGGAGGACCCCCAAGCCGAGGTGGAGATGGACCTGTTGGCAGAGCCTAGCAACCGCTGGCCCCAGGGCACCCCTAGCTGGCTGCCCACCAAGGAGCTCTTCTGGCCCCTCTTCTGGGGCTACCTGGAGGGCGAGGAGGGGGGGACCCGTCTCAAGGACAGAGCTGCAGAGGAGGAGGAAGAAGAGAAGGAGGAGGATTACCATGCAGAGTACAGCGAGGGCGAGGACCAGGAGGGCACCGATGAGGAAGATGACGATGAGGATGAGGAGGAGCCTGGGTTCAGTGGGGCTGCAGGCGGCTGGGACCAGGGCTGGCTGGCCCTGGGGGACTGGGCCTTCAAGGAGACCAACAGCTATGGTGAGCGCCCCCATCTTGGCATCCCTGGGCTGCTGCCCCTTGAGATCCTGAATAGAAATGGGGATGAGGGAGAGGGCTGAGGGCTTTCCAGGCAGGGGCAGCCAGGGAAGTTAGGAGTACGAGCTTAGGCCCTGTACAAACATCATCATCATCAGAATAGTAACAATACCAACTGCATGCAAAATTTGTTTTTTTTTTTTAAAACAACATTTGACTCTCACAACAGCACTGAGATCCCCTAGGCCAAACAGACACTTGTTAACATTATATATATTCATATCTGTTCTTTTCCAACAAATAGAGAAATATAAATCCCACCACTCATAACTGACCTCGAGACTGTGGGTTTGAATCTTGGCTCTGTCACTTACCAGCTGAGTGACCCTGGGCAAGTTACTTACCCTCTCTGTGCTTCAGTTCCTTCCTCTATAAAATGGGTAATGGTATAACCCTTACTTCGTAGGGTGGTAGGGAGTATTAAATGAGTTAATATATGTAAAGTGCTGGCATGTAGTAAAAATACTATGTAAGTTTTGGCTATTTTTCTTATTTTTATTAGAAAACAACATAACAGCATAGACTGTTCAGAAAACAAAATATCACCCAAACCTGCCAGTCCCCCATGATGACGATTTTTGTTTTTGCATTCTGTGGTTCAGGTTTTCGCTGTTACAGACATGTTTCATACACAGTTGTAGCCATTTGCCCTGGAGCCTCCTCACTGGACTGAGGTGCCTGTGCTTAAGACTAAGTCGTGGGGGGCTTTTCCCCATTCACCAAAAAAATGTCAGCTAACAGTTTTCATGACTTTAAGCTTTTCTCCCATTTGTGTTCCTTAAACTCTTGGTGCTGGCTGCTCTGGCCTGCTGGGAAGTGAGGAGAGTACCGACTATGTTGGTATTTCTGGGGGATAGCACAATGAGCAGTGGGTCTCGGGCTCTGTACAGCCAGAACACTTTGGGTGCCCGGTCCCTCAGATAGGGAGTGGGCCCCTGCTGTGGGTCAGGGATGTTCCTTAATACTCCCAGTGTCAAGGAAGTATTGCCAGCCTTGGTTTTGATTGGCATCAAAAACTATAGCTCAGAGAGGTAGGGGGTCTTGCCCAAAGTCACACCAACAGTGGTCAGGCCACATGTGGACCCTGCTGGCTTCCAGCCTCAGATACCTGTTCTTCATTGCTGTGTTGGCACAGAGCTGGCGGCTGGGGGTTATGCTGTCTCTGTAGGGCCACCTTGTACATTTGCACAGGTTGTTCACTGCACAAAGGTACCCAGCTTGGGTGGGTGGGGGCTGAAATCCAGCCCATGCTTCATTCACCAGGCTGGGCGCCGTGGCATGGGCTGTCTTCTCCCGAGGCTGGGGTGCCACCTTTGAATTTGCACAAATGCGTCCTGTGGACTGTGCTCACTCATGCCCGGCTCCCTGCCTCAACCCAGACTATGAGCCTCAAGAGGAGTGGAGCCCCTGGTCCCCCTGCAGTGGGAGCTGCAGCAGTGGCAGCCAGCGGAGGACTCGGCCCTGTGGCTACACCTGCACTGCCACCGAGTCCCGGGCCTGCGACCTGCCCCCCTGTCCTGGTGAGACGAGCCCCAGCCTCTGCATAGGGAGTGGCTTGTGTGGCTGAGACTCTTGGCTTGGTCCACTGGGAACTGGGCGTCCGAGGCTTGTGCAAGGGGTGGGCTTGGGAGAGGGCATGCAGGAAGCTCACCAACATAGTGGTCCTGCCTCATCTCAGGCCTGTCCCAGATGCTGTGGGCACCAAGAGTGAGGGCTGGGCTTCCCCATCAGGAGCACAGAGGTGCCCTGGGGTGCCACCAGCCCAGCCTCTTCTCTTCCCAAAGGCGCCAAGGACACATTGAGCATCCCCAGTGAGGGGTGGCAGCCCCTGGTCCACAACGCTACAGATGTGCTTAGCCCAGGTGAGTTGGGGGCTAGGCACTGACTGGGTGGTGTGGGGAGACCCCTGTTGGGAGGGTGGAGCTTTACTGCACGGGCAGGAACCTTGCCTCCATCCATGTGAGGCAGGGAGTACATGTTCCAGCTGGAAGCTTTGCCTCTCCAGCAAGGGGGCTCTGGCACTTATGACCCTCTTTAGCCAGGCCCACTGGCCTTTCCCATATTCCTACTGGGAGCCACAGAGCTTGGAGGTCATCAGGTGGGGCGGACCCTTCCAGCAGGCTGGATGGGCAGGAGACATTCTGGCTTTCACTCTCTGGTCACTGTTTGGAGGCTTCTGGCCAGGCTCTGTCTGGGGAAGGGGAGGCAGTGCTGTCTGTCAGAAGCAGGCTGTCTGTCAGAAGCAGGTCTGGAACTCCAGGAGTGCTACTTCCAGGCATCTTGGGGCATGCCAGGCTTTCACCAACACACTCTCAAGTTATTGTCTCTTGGTCTCATCCGCACTCTGAGGAAGGCAGGCAGCTGCTGGTAGCCCCACCTTGCGGGTGAGGTCCATGCTTACTGAGCCCGTGCAGGCACCCGGCACTGCTGGGGCTCAGGATTTCCAGAAGACCAAGGTCTGGTACCTGCCCTCATGGAGCTCAGCTCTTATAGGGAGAGGCACACAGAACTCACTTGAGCACTGCACTGAGAAGTGTGTCCAAAAGGTCTGGGAGCAAAGAGGAAGTAGTGAGCTGTTCTCTGTGGCCAGAGTCAGAGGCCACATTTCCCAAGGTAGAGAGCGAGGAGGAGGGCAGTGTGGAGAGGGCCGCTACAGGAGGCCCAGAGGGCAGAGTGACTTGCCCAAGGTCATAGGGCCTGAGAGAGGCAGAGTTGAGAATGAGCATGGGCCAGTGGTTAAAATGCTGCAACACTTCCTTCTCAGTTGGTTAAAAATTGCTGCTCACCAACCACCCCAGCTCCTTCCCCAAGATCCCAGGATCTTTCCCACCATCCATCACTTAGGTAGGAGGGAGGAAGGAAGGCAGAATCAGTGTTTAGGGGGCACTGAGTTTCTGCTAATGGTGGTGGAACCATTTGGAGAAGGATAGAGGTGATGGTCACACCACATGATGAACACAGTCACTGAATTGTGTATGGAAAAATTATTGAACTGGCAAATGTTATATATATATTTACCACAATAAAAAATAATTTAAAAAGAACAAACAGAAAAGGTAACACCTGGCACAGCAGAAGGCCTCCAGGCCCTGCCCCTTGGCCAGCGTCCGTTCTGAGCCATGGCCTCTTGCTTCAGCTTGTGTGGTAGCCATTATCGGTCAGCAGCGGAGGCCACGGCAGATTGTCTCCACTCTGATGTGGCTCCCTGACTCCTGCCCTCAAATTTACCCAAATTTACATCAGGTGAGGCCTGAGTTTTCTCTGTGCATTGCCCCAGGATCAGGCCCCATCCCCCACTTCACCAAGGGACTGACTGGCTCCTCTCCAACCCCCTTCCCTGCTCTCTTTAGATGTGGACAGCTGTGAGAAGTGGCTGAACTGCAAGAGTGACTTCCTAGCCAAGTACCTGAGCCAGGTGCTGCGGGATCTGCCCAGCTGCCCGTGTGCGTACCCGCTGGAGGCCGTGTACAGCGCTGTGAGCCTGCAGGATGAGCACCAGGGCCGCAGCTTCCGGTGGAGGGACGCCAGTGGGCCACGTGAGCGCCTGGACGTGTACCAGCCCATGGCACGCTTCTGCCTGCGCTCCCTGCTGTCTGGGGAGAGCAGTACCCTGGCCGCCCAGCATTGCTGCTATGACGAGGGCAGCCGGCTGCTGACCCGTGGCAAGGGCGCCGGCACACCTGACCTTGTCAGCACCGACTTCTCCCCTGAGCTGCACTTCAAGGTGGACACGCTGCCCTGGATCCTGTGTAAGGGGGACTGGAGCCGCTACCACGCTGTGCGGCCCCCCAACAATGGGCGGGCCTGCGCCGACAACCCCCCTGAGGAGGAGTACCTGGCTCAGTTGCAGGAGGCCAAGGAGTACTAATGAGGGGGCTGCTGGCCAAGACTGCAGGGAGGTGGCCAGTGGCTTCTGCGCCAGAGAACTTTCTTTGTAGCCTTGTCACAGCTGCCCCTGCCCAGACTGGGTGAGTGCAGGAACTTGCATCGCCTGAGGTCTGTTCTGCTGCATCGTGCCCTCTGCCTGTGAACCCGAGACAGGTCAGCTGTGTCAGGTGCTGGTGTGGGGTTGGGGAGAAGGTTGAAGGGTGTTCAGGCCTGAGGTCCCTGGAGGTGCAGTGGAAATCCGTGTCCATGTGTGGGTCTGTGTGTGAGCCTCCCTCTCCTACCTGCTGGGAGGAGCTGGCCCAGCCTGGCCGCTCATGTTCCTCCCTCTCCCTGAGCTGCGCTCTTTGGCCCTGGCTCTGCACACAGGTGTGAGCCCATCTCTTCAGGCACATCCCCAGGACCTCACGGAGTGGCTGGTAATCATTCAGACCCCACCCCTAATGGCTAGCTGAGGAAGGGCATGAGGGAGACCACAGAAGGGCTGGTCTTTCATCCCACCCACAGCTGCCCTTTGCCAGGCTGACACTAGCCCTGGTTATGACCGCCCCTTGTCTCAGGGTGCACGTACCTCACTTGCCCTGTTGCCCCATCCCCAGGAGCCTGCCCAGGATAGAGGGCCAGTGGTGCTGTGAGCCATGCACAGGAGGGTGACCCTTAGCTCCGAGCTGCCTTTCTGGTGGACACCACTTGAGGTTGGGGCTGAAGGCCATCAGTGGGCCTAAGATGACAGACAGGCCAAGGCAGCTGGGGCAAGGCAGGTTCCAGGCAGGGACTGGGTCACCTAATTCTGGTCCCTTTGTCCAGCCCTCCTCTGTTCTGCCCAGGTTGTCGGAATAGGGGGGTGGAAGCTGGCAGTGTCCCCAAGTTGGGGAGTGGCAGCTTGTCACAGCAGCCGGGCTTGGGGTGGGCTCAGAATGATGTATCACGTGTCTGTGGGGTGCTGGTAAACCGGCTCTCAGGGGAAAATAATGAGCCTTGATTTTTAGCATTTGGCAATTTCCATGGTGTAAATACTCCCACTACAGCCCATTTCAAGCTCCAATCATGATGTCACTGGATGCACTGAACTCTGAGTTGGGAAGAGATGCATGTAACCAACTCTTCCAGCACACCTTGTGCCTCTCCCCTGCTTCCCCTCGCTCCCCAAATCACACTTCCTCCCCTTCTGTGGGGTTGAAATGTTGAGGTCCCAACTGCCCCTCTTCACAAAAGCCTCCAGAAGGCAGGGGACTGCAGTCCTAGCCCCTAGACAGCTGCCCTGAAGCACTGTGGGATCCTCACGATAAAGCACTTTATTTTAAAATTCATCTGATGAAGCTGTGGGCACTGGCGGGGCATGGGAGTGTCGGCAGCCTTTGCTTACAGCCCAAGCCAAGCTCACGTGGGTTGTGTTTCTACCTACCTAACCCGTGTTGTTGTTAGTTGCCGTCGATACAGACTCATGGCAACCCCATGTGTGGAGTAGAACTGTGCTCCATAGGGCCACAGCCTTGAAAACCTAACCCATAGTTGAGTTTTCTTCTTTTCCTGAACCAGCTGGGCAGGCAGAGATCCCGAGATTCAGGGGTAAACCTCAGCCATCCCTATTCGCGCTTGTAAAGGATTTGCCGAGGAGACGAGGTGGAGCTGGCTGGTCTTCAGAAGCACATTTGCTCGTAAGCTTTGTACAGAGAGGTCAACTGCGTTTAAGTGGCCCCACTTCCCCAAGTAACCTGCTGCAGGGGGACCTCACGCAGAATTGCCCAAAGGACTACGCCTGTGAGATGACAGAGGTGGACCTATACCTTACCTTGGTCAGTAGCCTTAATGGATACTCCACTGTCACTCCTGGCATTTGGGGAAGGACAAAGACATGTCAGGAAGTAGAGTGAGGGAAGGTGTGTCCTTCAGGGCTGTCCAGAGCTGCCCCCTGGAGATGTCCTCCTTCGATTACCATCACACCCAGGGACAAGTTTATTGGTCGGGTCCCAGACCACAGTCTAAAAATACTTTGGTGCAAGTGGAATATCACAGGGTCAGGGAAGGCAGGATCTGAGGCCACCAGATGAGAGCCAGTTCACTCCCTTTCTCTCATCTGGGGAATTCAACAAGATTAGCCCAGGCACGTTTTAATTATTTTTAGAAGCAGCTTTTTTTTTTTTTTTTAAAATAAAAAGATATCTCAGAGTCTATTTTCACAGAAACTAATTCCTCTCCTTTCTAGTATTACTTACCTTGGCACTTAAACACACTGTCTAAATTTAATCCATACCTAACGGTTGTCTATTACCCAAACTGAGTTTAGCTAGCCCCACTTTTAATCTGTAATCTAAGTGACACACTAAATCGCTACCCTGTCACGCCACAGATGAGAGAAACTAAAGAAAAGGGGGCTGGATAGGAACCTTGAAGGGGCTTGGGAGTAGGTCAGCTATAAAATGGTGTTTATTGAAGCTGTACAAAGGAGAAAGAGACACTGTGCAGGTGGCTGCAGGCTTAAGGAACACGTGTGTGAGGAAGAACACTAATGAAGGGGTCACTGAAACTGTGAAAAGGATTTGAGGAGTGGCGAGTATCAGAGCCTAGGAAGGGGCCCATGAAATGAGAGGGTCCTCCTCCCCGTTCTGGTCCACCATCAGTCACGTCATGGGCTTGACTATCTGCCTGTCCTGTTCCAAACACCAGAGTCCATCCCATACCAAGCATCTAGCAAGAATACCACGACTATCTCTAACAGTTGCTGGCCTAGTAGCCACCAAGGTGGTTTTGCCTGATTTTTCCTTCTTTGGTTTGCCTTGTAAAGGGTTCTAGGTTAGACCAAAACAAAAAAACCAAACGTTGCCATCGAGTTGATTCCAACTCATAGCAACCCTATAGGACAAAGTAGAGCTGCTTTGTAGGGTTTCTAAGGCTGTAAATCTTCACAGAAGCAGACTGCCACACCTTTCTCCCGTGCAGCGGCTGGTGGGTTCCAACTGCAGACCTTTTGGTTAGCAGCTGAGACAGCTTAACCACTGTGCCACCAAGGCTTCTTCTAGATTAGGCAAGACTGGTTGAATTCAATTCGGGGTTTAAAATAACCAACAGCAGGAGTCCCTGGGTGATGTAAATGGTTAAGTGTTGCTCTACTAACTGAAAGGTTGGTGGTTTAAACCCACCCAGGCTCCTCAGATGTAAGTAAGGCCTGGTGATCTGCTTCCAAAAGGTCACAGCCTTGAAAACCCTATGGAGCAGTTCTACTCTGCACACACGGGGTTGGCGTGAGTTAGAACTGACTTGACAGCAACTAACAACATGATGTAACTAAAACAACCAATAGCACAAACCCTGCTGATCTCCCCTTGCCTCTTGAAAGGTAGTGTGTTTCAGATCTTTTGCCCCATTATTCACAAAAGGAACCCAAATGCGCTGCTTTGGCTTTTTTAGACTTTTTTTTTTTTAACATACTGAAGTTTCTCAAAATGCATCCTTGCCTATCTGTGTTATGCAGGAGTCTGTGTTGGGAGGGGCCCCGTTGATTTGATTCAAGATAAGAGTCCAGGTTCCTTATCCAAAGGCATCTTTTTGGACTCCTAGAAGGCAGGTCTCTAAAGTCCACAGCAAAGCAGATCAGTACAGTCTAGTGCACGTCTGAATAACGTTAAGCCAAAGATGGCTTTTGGGGGTCTAAATGATCCAGATCAATACTGATTTTCTGCTTTACTTTAACCACAAAGTTTTGGCCAAGTCATGTTGCTAGAATTAGCCTGCAGACCTCACTGCCACCTAATAAAACAGGCGAAAACAGATTTAAGGAAATAGCTGTAACTGCAGGAAGTGGAGTATCTGGATTCGAGGGCACTGACTCACGCTGGGGTGCAGGAAGCCAGGGCAGGGTTTGTCCAGGAAAGCGGCCTTCCCTGCTGCCAGGTAGTTACCTCTTCACCCAATAGGGCAGTCTGTCTGAACCCCGTTAGAATGGATTCCCAATGCTTGGCAGACATAGTCAGTCCTCAGTAATTTTAATGGAACCAGCCATTTAAACCTATTCTAACAAAGACAATTCATTTCTTTCTCTTTCTGGGGGTACTAAGGAGCCTGGAATTCTCTCCTTCAGGAGGGATGCCTAATATACTACAAATACAGCAGCCTCTCTTTGTGAAAATGAACCCAACAACGAGGCAGTTAATGAAACAGTTTAGACTTGAGCACAGGCTCTGCAGTTAGGGTCCTCATTCCACATCCCAGCTCTGCTAAACACTAGCTGTTCGATCTGGGATATGTTAAGAAATTCAAAATTTAAGATCTTGTAAAACAGAAATGATAATAGATCTACTTCACAGGGCTATTACAGGGGTTAAATTAGCTAATGCAAGGAGACTGCTTAGTGTAGCGTCTGGCATGTAGTAACTGCTAAGTGGAAGCTGTTAACCCAAGGCCCACAGTTCCCCTCTGCCAGAGGTGGGAATCTCTTTCCACACCTCAGATCTCATCTGTGGCCATCTGTTCTTGCAAAAGGACATGAGGCCATGGAGAGTTGAAAGCACAGGATGCTGCCTCCACCAGGAAGCTTGCTGACACTGTTTACCAGAGCACAAACCCTCCCCGAGCTTCCCCTCGGTGAGGGGAGCAAATGGGCAGAGTATCCACTAGGCAAGGTAAGCAAGATACCCTGCTTACCAGATCATCTGTAGTGAACAATTTATTTTTTCACCACATCCAAGATTCTGCTTCTAGGTATGGCTGGCATGTGTCTCTCTCCAATCCCACAACACCCTCCTACAGAATCAAAGCCTCTTCAAGTCTACAATCCCTGACAAGGATGGACTGCCCAGTGAGCTAGGTAAGCATGGGCTGACTTGTGCGTGCTTACTCATCTGTGGTCAAAGAATGTGAAACTGTTCACTACAGATCAGTAAGTATGCACACATCACCCTGGGTGTACCCTGCTTACTGGGTAATCCAACTCTGGGAGTGGAACCTTCTTCCCAGCCTGCAGTATGAAAGGAATGCCTGGTGGTG